ATGAATAATATATCTTCTTTTGTTTATATTATTGAGTTGTCTAATTTACGGCATTATAGATTATGACATGTAAACTTTAATTCTATACAGAAACTAATGAATTTTAATGAGTATACATTTTAATACAAATGGAAAATGCGAAATTTGTGTAGAGCCTAAGTTAGCCAAAGTGCCATTTTATTCGGTCAAACGTAGCACAACACTTTTGAAACTTATTCACACCGATATATGTGACTTAAAGCACGTCCAAACCAAATGTGGTAAAAAATATTTCATCACATTTATAGACAATTGTACAAGATACTGCTATGTATGCTTGTTGAAAAGTAAATATAAAGCTGTGGAAGTGTTTAAACACTATAAAATTGAAGTTGAAAATCAACTTGAAAAAGGGATAAAGACGATTCGTAGTAATCGAGGTGGAGAATATGATGCACTGTTTGAAGAATTTCGTTTAAAATCTGGAATTATTCATCAAAGAACATTGTCATACTCATCTCAATCTAATGATATTGCTGAACGCAATAATCGAACACTTAAGAAAATGATGAATGCAATGTTGATTAATTCAGGCTTACTTCAAAACATGTGAGGGAAAGTTATACTTTCGACAAATCGTATCCTTAATAAAATACCACATAAAGGTAAGAACGAATCACCTTATGAATTATGGAAAAGTCGAAAACTTTCCTATAAATATCTTAAAATGTGGGGGTGTTTGGCAAAGGTAAAAATATCTAAACCTAAACAAGTAAAGATTAGATATAAGACAATTGATTGAGTCTGTATCGAATATGCAAACAATGGTAGTGCATATCGATTTTTGGTTCATAAATTTGAAATATTTGATGTACATATAAGTAGGGAAATTGCAGCCATGATATCAAACACTTCACTTAGTAGTAGACTTTACCCAAACCCTTCATTTGTGCCACCGTAGGTACCAAAGCTTTAAACAATTCACAGCTCAAGTCCAGATTGACGGTTTCCGTGAGTTTGACCCAAAAAACTGTCAGTTGACCTCAAAAATTAAAATTTTAATAATTTTGACCAAATAAGGCAAGAGTAAAATGGTAACTTTATAATTTTAATATAAAAAAGAATCAAAATCAACAAAAAAAAAAAAAAAAAAA